TCAGGACAATGGACGAAAACCTGAGTCTGAAGCAAAGGCATCTTATTAAGCAAGGATCTGGCATTTAAAACAAAAAGTTTGAAGGGAAAGGCTGTTAGTTTTTGAGGGAGGTGGGCTACATCGTCCAGTTCTGGGTCGCCCACGGAGCAAACGGCCCGGATGCAACCATCCGGTTCTGCAAAAGATTTTGTGGCATGAAAAAATTCTGACGTGGATAAAAAAAGGGGAGGACTTGGGGGAGGGAATGACGGGCAGGTAAACTGGTAACTATTGTTAGCTAACTTATTTTCAGCTGGAAATCCGTGGGGCAGATACTGCAACGTATTCCCGCCGGGACAAAACTGAGGATCGGATGAATTAACTGATTCAGTATGGACATTATCATGAGGAATAAGTTGGTAAAACGGCCGTGGCGGAAACAAGTTAGGGGGTGGGGGACGCATTGTTTCCATTGGAACAAGAGGTCTATTAAACGGTGGGAAAATCGGCATATTCGGCCTAACTGCCTTGATATGAGGGATGGGGGGCAGTTGCGAACCCGCTACGTTTTGAGTCGGGGTATTTGAGGCACTGTTCGCCGATTGTGGAGGAAAACATTTTATACTGGTGCTGGATTTATTGGGTGTCCGAGTGGCTGAGACAGCAATTGGATTTGCCTTTGACTTAGGCACATGCTTAGGCTTACTAGGGGTTGCTGAGGGAGTCGATAGAGGCGTGTTTATACCAGGCGTGGTGGTGTGTTTAAAGAGGTCAGCATTAAAAGTAGTAGAACTCCCTACGGAATTGACTCTGCCGTGACTTGCAGATGCCGCAGGTGGTGTTGTAGAGGACATATTCAGACTGACAGTAGGTGTCATTATCTTGGTGTTGGTTTTTGCCGATTTTAGTTTATTCAGTCTTCGCTGCAGGGGTGTGAGGTCTGGCGAAACGGAGCAGCGCCATTTACGGCAGAAGTCTCTAGTCATCTCCCTACTCGACAAGATAAAATCGACTTCTATCATGGAGAAAAGGGTAACTAGTATCGGCGCATTACGGCTAAGCGAGCGAAGTCGCTTAGCTTGTGCGACACTAAAACTCAAACCACAACTTTGTAGGAACAAATGCGCTCCCTCCATAGCAGATAAGTGGCTCGGAATGTTTCGCAGTACGAAATTATGCTTGCGTTTAATTCGTTCCTCAGTTTCCGAACTTATTACCCCAATAAGTTTAAAAGCTAGTTCAAGCACTTTTTCAGAAGTGCTGTTTATGTCGCCATAAATCAGCTGATCGATTATTTCGCCGGCTGATGGCCTGCTACGACTAGCAGA